CTCTCTCTCTCTCTCTCTCTCTCTCACCGTAATTGTAGGCAATGAACAGCATTTGCAGCAATGCGTTGATTCCGCCGGAGAAGTCCATGTAAATGAACCAGATGCTCCACCCGCGCGTCGACTTGCGCTTGTAGTTGAACCACGCCTACCACACAAACACAGGCACATTGTCATTGGCTGCGCAACACTCGCACTCACCTGCGGGATGTACTTGATCATGGTGACCACCAGTTTGATGTACGAAAAATAGTACATGAATGTGAGCCAGGTCATCACCGAGGTGAGACACAGTACCAGTTGGATGGCGGCCGCAGACCACGCGACGCCCGTAAACAGTTTGCCCAGAAGTGACATTCGCTGATCGCCTCTCTGTTCAGGCAAACGAGAGGTGAAAGAGGGGGTGAATGAGAGGTGAGAGCGCCGGCACACAAACCTCGTAGACATAGCACTGGACGAGCGTTACTCCGGTGGCGAAGGCGGCGTGAAAGGCGTACACCACGTCATTCAATAGGATGGGTATCTCTGAACGCGGGAACCACTCTTCGTATTCACTTTGGATGCGTTTTGAGAAATAAATGCCCGAATTGTAGAACGAGTAGAATATAAAGCCCGTGACGTTGAGTGCGGCGAAGTCCAGATTGTAGCCAATCACAGACTTGCGCCGGAAGTGGGAGATGTTCTGCGGCCAGAAGCTGACCGTCCAGATGACAAAGTAGATCCAACCGACCACTTCGGCCAGAGTGGCCAACGCGCGCGCTCTGCCCACTCGTATGCGCACGAATGCGTCCGAATCGCTGATAGGAATACACTTTAGTTTAAATTATTTCCATGTTTTGTCGCTTTACTCGATGTTTGTGTTGTTGTCGACAATTGTGGCCACAATGACGTCGTGTCCGGCGGTTTTGGCCGATATATTGAACCGAAAAATTGTGGAATTTTGAGACAAACGAACGATTTGTTTGTCGAAAGAAATAGTTTTGCATTTCTGTGAATCACACGCGACGGAAACGTTAAGAGAAATACTTAACTCCTTTCTGAAAACAAAACACATTCAAAAATTACTTTTTCCCCAACTTTTGTCTCACTTTTCAACAGTAATGTCGAAAAAGTCGTTTTCGTCGATATTTATCTGAATGTCTCGTTTCGAAGCCTTCAGAGAATTGTTGTCTAAAGGATTGAAAGCGTGAAAGAAATGCTATTTTTGGGACAAAACTCACGATTTGTAGCATTTATTGAAGAAATTGTCAAAAAAATTACTAAAATTAGTGAAAATGTACTCATTTTTATGATTTTTGTCTTAAAATGAAAGACTTTTTTTTCATTCATCTGTTTATCGATACTTTATTTTTTGGTAATCATTTGTGAAACACTTGTAATAATTAAATAATAATTGGATTACTGTTTAAAATTTGAGATAATTGAAGGAATTTTTCTCTTATCCAAAATTCTACTTCTGTTTTGTGCAAATCGTTTGTGTATTTCTGTTATTCATAAAACAATAAATGCATACAAAAGCAATCAATTAATTTTACTTTTTGATAAAACAATGTTTATCTCTCAAAAATCATCTCAAATAAAAGGTCATTCAGATAAAAACTGTTCACTTTCTTTTTTGATTACTCGGGAACTATTAAAGTGACAATACACACATAAATCCACGTAGGGCAATTTTTATAGTAAAAGAATTTTTGTGGTCACGTATAAGATATATTAATAAAAGTTTGTTTAAAAAAGGACCTTATTAGGAAGTCTGAAATGTATTAAAATAATTTTAGTTTCAGTAAAATATATTCTCAATTTATGCTCATTTTATTAATTAATGCAAATAAAATTGGATTCCAATAATTATACTCTACATTTTATAAAACATGCATGAGAAAAATAGCTGATATTATTAATATGACTGATAAATTATTGGCATTTTAAAACCCCCTTCACTGGGTATCCCTGTATTGTCACAAACGACAGACATATGATGAATGCATAACTGTCTCGCAGAACACACCCCTATCGGCTCCTATAGCCTAAATCCCAACAATTGTCATACAATACACCTATTTATGAGATTCCATGTAATTGTCACCCAATCTTACATACAGTACCTGTAATACACATACAATACTATTAGCCGTATTCAAAGACGTAAAATAGAGCACCAACTCATTCTCTATGTCTAAAAAAGTTTCAATTCTCATTCATAGACGACAACTTCAAGAGTTGGAACTCCAAATAATAAAGTCTCATATTTATCAGACTCTACCCTGAAAAGTTGACTTACTAGTATAACATATACGAATGTGCAGTGAATAGTACAAAACCCGTCAAACAGGGTTCCGGTTCCACGCACTGATGTCACAATTCACAAACTTAAGCCAATAGCAGATGCGTTTACAATGTGCGCAACAATAGAGATCCAACTCTTAAATTGTCATTCATGAATACAAAATAAAGTCTGAGTTCCAACTCAATCTCTAAACCAGTTTGTAATAGCCGTATTCAAAGACGTAAAATAGAGCACCAACTCATGCTCTATCTCTAGAAAAGTTTCAATTCTCATTCATAGACAACAGTTTTAAAAGTTTGTTCTCAATCGTAGAGTTGGAACTCAATAACTTTGAGTCCCAAAATTATCAAACTTTACCCTGTAGTGTAGGCAGACTCGCAATGTTTACCACATGTAAACATAAATATAAACAAATAGTATAGTGGTCAGTATCACCGCCTGTCACGCAATGGATCACGACATTAGCATTGCTGAAGACTTGGATCTGGTGGCCGCAAGAGTCACCGAGAAGACAATTTACTCGACATGCGATCCTTTGGCACAATACCCTGACGACGCGTTTTATCGCCGATATCGCATGTCAAAGGACTCATTCCACGAGTTGGTCCGACTTCTCCGGCCAAACCTCG